CCTAGAAATCCAAGAATCGAATAGTTAGGCCCTCTTCGCAGTCAAATACAAATAACACCGACTTCTAATTAAATTCTGGACCCCCCTCCCCCTCCCACCAGGGGGTCAAATGAAAGGGGGGGGGGGGATCATAATAGTACAGGTACCTTCCTATTTCCTTTACAGTAGGTACCTTCCTATTTCTCTCACAACAATGAATCATAATTTCTCAAGGTTAGGCTCATAAAAAGAAGATATGCGATTTGGAAAGAAGAAGAAGAAGAAGAGGTGGAAGAAGGATGTCAAGGGAAAATGGAATAGGTAGGGGATCAAAGAAGAAGAAAAAGTACAGCCAAAGTAAAAGAGTGAGGGGTTGTAAATATTGGGGAAGAGAGAGAGAGAGAGAGGTAAATCAATTGAGTAAATATATATTGAGCATATTGAGAGACTAGGGACCGGTAAGGTGTGGTCAGGGACAAAAGGGCTTAAGGGTTTGTGGGAACTTACTGGAGATTTTGGAAATTGTCTCTAATAAAATAACCGCTAACTTTGAGACTATATATCTCGGTTCCTGTTAAAGATATCAAGAAGTTGTCAACTGACAAAATATGTTTGATAGTGTAATACATATTTTATCAGTTGACCACTTTTTGATATCTCTTACAGAAAATGAGATATAAGAGCTCAAAGTTGACGGTGAAGGGAATATTCTATTAGAATGTTTACGGTAACTGTAGTCACTAGAGAAGTTGAAGTGAATCCTGAGGATGCTTAAAATTCACAAGAACTCAAAGGATCCTAAAAATCTTGAAATCTTGAAATCTGCTACGCGACCATTACTTGGTAAACATCCGTCTTACTTACCTGCATCGCAAGCTCAACGTTAACCTGACTTATCTCAGTTCCTGTAAAAGATATCAAAAATTTATCAACTAATAAAATATTTGTCATATAATTTCACACATTTCACCAGTTGACAGCTTTTTGATATCTCTTATAGGAACTGAAATAAGTGAGCTCAAGTTTGCGAATCATGTTGTCGTTCTATTTGAGTGGTTACAGTAACGTTGTGCGCTAATATCTCACGAACCTTCAAAGGTAACTGAAAAGTGTTGACTAGCAAAATGTGCAGTTTTGTTAATTGCTACGTTCTATTAATTAAAAATTTTTTGCCGAATAATGTCTTACCATGGAATCTGTAACACATAGAAGTGCTTCTTTGTTTTAAGACTTTTTATCTCGATTTCCGTGAAAGATATGAAAAATTGGTCAACTTATAAAATGTTGGTGATAATGTGATAAACATTTTATCAATTGAAATATTTTCAATATCTCTTATAGGAAGTGAGATAATTGAGTTGCAAGCATTGGGGTCACAAGCGCTGCCGATCGCGGGGCTCGGCGACTTCTAAACTTTGAGCGCATTTATCTCGATTTTTATGAAAGATATCAAAAATTTGTCAACTAATAAAATGTTGGTGATGTCATGATAAACATTTGATCAGTTGACACATTTTTGATATCTCTCAGAGGAACCGAGGGATTGAGCTCAAAGTGTGAGCACAGGGTGACGCCGATATCAGAACGGTACCATATACTTTATCAATCTGTAAATCTGTTCATCCAGATGTCTAACCTGCCAAAACTCAACTTCCTCCTCTCTCTCATAACACACAAACGGTACCGTGCTCCGGCTCTCTTTTATCCTGTTTCTCTGTGTCTCTCGCTCTCTCACTCTCTGTACAAATATTCGAGTGTATATTGAGGAAACAATAGGGCAAACTTTCTATCCCCCCCAATACACTCTAATTCCACTTTTCTTCTTCGAGGAGAAGAAGAAGAGGATCATCAGGAAAAAATACATTGGGTGGGGGAAGGGACCAAGAATCTAAGAATCTAAGAATCTAAGAATCTAAGAATCTAAGAATCTAAGAATCTAAGAATCTAAGAATCTAAGAATCTAAGAATCTAAGAATCTAAGAATCTAAGAATCTAAGAATCTAAGAATCTAAGAATCTAAGAATCTAAGAATCTAAGAATCTAAGAATCTAAGAATCTAAGAATCTAAGAATCTAAGAATCTAAGAATCTAAGAATCTAAGAATCTAAGAATCTAAGAATCTAAGAATCTAAGAATCTAAGAATCTAAGAATCTAAGAATCTAAGAATCTAAGAATCTAAGAATCTAAGAATCTAAGAATCTAAGAATCTAAGAATCTAAGAATCTAAGAATCTAAGAATCTAAGAATCTAAGAATCTAAGAATCTAGGAATCTAGGAATCTAAGAATCTAAGAATCTAGGAATCTAGGAATCCAGGGATCCAGGCCTATGAATCTCAAAAATTTGGGATTTTCAGAATTCGAAGAATTTGAAAATCTGCAAATAACGATTAGATTGAAATTCAAAATTCATGTTTTGAAACCGAAAATTCTGGAACCCCCCCCCCCCCCCAAAAATCTAAAATTGAGCCAAAAAAGAAAACGTTCAGCTCCTGAAAAAAACCAAAAAATTAATATTCAATGGAAAAATCTGGGTCCATGTTTTCTTTTTTTTTTTTGAAAAATTCGAATTTCAAATGTTCTCAATCCTCGATGAATTTTTGAATTTCTCTCTCTTTTTTTTTCTTTTTTTTTAAATTTCTAAATTCTTTAATTTTTCAATTTTTCAGAATTCTACAATTTCTTCTTCTGGTTCTTCCTCCAAAAATTTTTCGCAAGTTTTTCCCTTTTTTTTTCTCTCTTTTTCCAGAAAAAAAATTTCCCATCTCGCATTTATTTAAAAATCTCAGAGAGGGATCCTTCCTTTTTTTGATATGCCTTATTCTTTTTTTGGGGCAAAAAATAATAAGAATTTGATAATTTTTTATCAGAAGAAGAGCTGAAAAATCCACGATTCTCCACTAATTTTTGGGATCCTTATCAATCGAAAAACTCTTATCACCATCACAAATTTTGTGTCTCCTCTCTAAGAATCTAAGAATCTAAGAATCTAAGAAATACCTATCTAAGAATCTAAGAATCTAAGAATCTAAGAATCTAAGAATCTAAGAATCTAAGAATCTAAGAATCTAAGAATCTAAGAATCTAAGAATCTAAGAATCTAAGAATCTAAGAATCTAAGAATCTAAGAATCTAAGAATCTAAGAATCTAAGAATCTAAGAATCTAAGAATCTAAGAATCTAAGAATCTAAGAATCTAAGAATCTAAGAATCTAAGAATCTAAGAATCTAAGAATCTAGGAATTCCAAAAATTCTGAAATCCAATATTTCCACCAATCCAAAAATAACAAAAAAGGGGACGAATGGTCTAAGAAACAATTGGTAATTTGATTCTTCTTAGATGCTCTGACCGTAAATATTCCTTTTTCTTCTTGTAAGTGACATACAAACAAAAAGACATGTTGACTTTTGCTCAGAACAATGCAAGAATAGAGAATAGTGGATTATTATATGTTGGCGAGGGACCAATGGAACTCACAAGAAATTCTAGAGCACTTGCTCTTTGAGCTCAATTATCTTAATTCCTATAAAAGATATCAAAGAGTGACCAACTGATAAAATGTTTGCCATGAAATTTCCAACATTTTGTTAGTTGGCAAGTTTTTGATATCTTCTACAGGAATTAAGATAACTAAGTTCAAAGTCTGTAGGTTGGCGTGTCGCTGAGCTACGTTGTCGGCCGCCTATACTTGAAGCTCAATTATCTCGATTCCTATGAGAGATATCAAAAATATCTCAATTGATAAAATGTTTGTCATAAAATTTTCTACATTCTATAAGTTGAAAAGTTTTTAGTATCTTTTACAATAACCGGGATAACTAGGCTTAGAAATAAGGTTGGCGCTTAGGTCGGTCACACTCGCAACATCTATACTCCGAACTCAATTATCTCGGTTCCCATAAAAGATATAAAAATTTTGTCAACTGATAAAATGTTTGTCATAAAATTTCCAACATTTCAAAGCTGACAAATTTTAATTATCTTTTACAGTAACCCAGACAATAGAGCTCAAAGAGCAAGTAAAGGATTTCCAGCTTTTTTTTTCTGTGATAAAGGACAATTCGAGATCTCTGGACATGGCAAATCAGCCAGAATTGAAGTATTTTTCTATATGAATAGATTTGAATGAAGTGTTTGTATTTGCGAATTTTACAAATCACATTTTTACAGACTTCGATCTTACTCTTGTTCAGTGGAGCGCGGGAAACCACTTTTCAGTTGAGTTTTTTCGATTTTTCTTGTATTATAGCCATTTATTAGGCTCAAACACACTTTTTTACTGTAAAAATTGCAAGTTCCCAACCAAAATGCTTAAAATATCCCATGTTTTTATTTTCTCCTTTTTTTTCGATTTTCTTCACTTTTTTCAAACCTCCCGCTATTTTTCATTCGCAACGGAGCGCGTTTGCAGATCTCCTTTTTTTGCGATTTTTCGGCGATCTCCTCCCATCATTACCCCGTTTTCAGCTGAAAATCAACGGAAATAGTATATTTCTAGTAGTTTTCCGAACGAAAAATCGCATAAAATTCGATTTTTAGTGTTCTAAATCCTAAAAATTGATTGGGAAATCTAGAAAATTCTGAAAAATATAAAATTTAGGTGAACATTTTTAATTCTTTCCATATTTTTCTGTTTTCCAGTACATTATTTTCTTCCTCTGCCGAATATTTGCCCTTGGTACAAAGCGGAAAACCCTATTCTTCTCCTTCTCGCTCTTCCTCTCCGTCTCTCTTCTTTTTCTCTGCACCCTCTCGATTCCCAACACTCTCGTCGCCGGCCTCCTCCTGTCTAGCCACCCAACCAGCGGTCTCCAATGTCAAACAGCGACGAAAATGAGTGATTTCCGATGAATTTACTGCATTTTCCCGGTCCTAAATAAACCCCGTTTCACCTGTTTTTCCTTATGTTTTCAGTTCAAAATCTGTAATTTTGAATAAACACTTTTTTCCCTATAATTATCGATTTTCTGTCTTTTGACCTGGAATTTTCGAGAAAATTGGCGATTTTTCAGGGTAAAAAATGGCGAAATCCAAGTCGAAAAATGATGATGTGCAGGAGTTGGTCTTGCCGGAAATTGGGAATTTTTCTCAGTTTTTCAAAAGGTCTGATTTGGAAATTTTGGGCTAAAAACCACTGAAAATCATATTTTCCTGGAGAAAAATGGCCAAAAATTGATTTTCAGCCGCTCAAAATTCTCGGAATGCATGACGGATGTGATTTCGAACGTCTACGAATGGTCGACATCTCTGGACCCATCGGCCGAGGCAGATCTTCCATTGCCATTCGTTTCGAAGAATCCAGAAGTCGTTTGGTCGTATTTGAAGCATCAGAATAAGCAGTTGGACGGGTTGAATAGGAAATATAAGGTAGAAATTGCGATTTTAGCCTTAAAATACCTGAAAACACAACATTTTGGGCTGAAAATTGGAATTTTTGAGCCTTTTTCAGCTGGAAAAGTAAAAAATTCGCTTAAAAATTACATTTTTAGTCCAGGAAATCAGAAAAAAAATTCGAAAATTAAAACGAAAATCGTAATTTTAGAGGTTTTTTGAGCTCTTAAAGCTCAGAAAATCCACTTTTTCGAATATAAAAATCAGTAAAAATTGAATTTTAGGCCAAAAATCCTAACTTGGCGCTTATTTGACCCTAAAAACTGGAAAATTAGGTGTTTAATCAGGTTTTTTAAGCCACAAATCGTACGTTTCTGAGGTTTTTTGAGCCGAAAACCTTAATTTTGGCGCTTTTTTGCCCATCAAAACTGGGAAATTAGCTTCAAAAATCCCATTTTTCCAGGGATTTCTATCGGAATTGATCGGAAAACCACACATTCGTCTATCGGCGAAGCAGCAAGAATCAGAAGATTCAGAAGACGTCGATTCTGAAGACATCGACGACGAAGAGGAAGAAGATCTAGAAGACGAGGAAGGCCTAGAAGACGTGGACGATGAAGAGGAGGGCGACATGGATCTCTTCAATTTGACAGAGAGCGATCTGAAGACTCTGGACGCGGATCTGAAGAAGATGGCTGAAGAGGAAGATTCTGGAGAAGATTCAGAAGGCGTCACGCCGTCTTCTGAAGCGGCGCCAAAGAAATTCAAGAAGAGTATAGTGGACGACGAGTTCTTTAGTCTCGAAGAAATGCATGATTATTTGAAGAAAACCGAGCGAGGCGGAGGCAAGAAGACGTCCGAGGAGGAGATGATGTTCGAGGATGAGGTATGGACCCGAAAAATCTGGAAAACTGGCTGAAAATCAAGTTTTTAGAGCTCGAAAATGGGAATTTTCGTCAAAAATCATCTGAAAACCGTGATTTTCGAGGTTTTTTGACCCTGAAAAGTTGGAAAAATCCATAATTTAGAGCTGAAAATCTGGAATTTTTGTCAAAAATGACCTAAAAATCGGATTTCCGAGGATTTTTGACCCTAAAAAGCTGGAAAAATCGGTGAAAATCGAGTTTTTAGAGCTGGAAATTCTGATTTTTACTCCACAATGACTTTTTTTCGGCTGAAATAATTAGATTTCTGGACTCTTGTTGACCCCATAAAGCTGAAAAAATGACTGAAAATCGATTTTTTGGAGCTAGAAATCGAAATTTTTCTCGAAAATGGCCTAAAAATTGGATTTTCGATAATTGTTGACCCTGGAAAAGTCTCATTTTGACTCAAAAATGGCTTTTTCAACTTGAAAATCCAGAATTTTGAAGTCTTTTTGACAACTAAATTTTTGAGGATTTTTGACCATGAAAAGTTGAAAAACTGGCTGAAAATCGATTTCTAGTGCTAGAAAATCTGAAATTTCTGTCAAAAACGACCTAAAAATTGAAAATACCAGGTTTTTTGAACCGGAAAAGTTATACCTTTAAAAATTGAATTTTCGAGAATTTTCGATCCTAAAAAGTTGAAAAAATGACTGAAAACCTGATTTTGACTCCAAAAAGACCTTTTTTCGACTCAAAAATCGGGGTTTTTGACCCTGAAAAGCTGGAAAAATGGCTGAAAATCGAGTTTTTAGAGCGACAAAACTGAAATTGTTGGCAAAAATGACCCAAAAAATCGGATTTTCGGGTATTTTTGAGCCTAGAAATCCGGGAAAATGGTTGAAAATTAGGATTTTTGACCTTATAAATCAGATTTTTTGAATTTTTAGGACAGCTGGGACGGCAAAACCGACTACACCTACGAGGACTTCTTCGGAGCTCGTGACGCTGCTCCAGAATCTTCTCCAGCCAAGAAGAAAGGTGTCGAGAAGAAGCGAAAGGCGGGAGAGGCGGATTTGTCGTCGGTGGACGATGGGTAGGTTTTAGGCTCAAAAATGCGCACTCTGGTGCACTTTTAGCAAAATTTCGTCAAAAATTACATGAAAAATCACATTTCCAAGGGATTTTTGACCCTGAAAAGTTGAGAAAATAGCTGATAATAAGGATTCTGGAGCTCAAAAATGGCATTTTTCAACTGGAAAATTCAGAATTTTAAAGTTTTTTAACTCTAAACAGCTTGAAAAATGGATGGAAAATTGATTTTTCAGAGCTAAAAACGAGAATTTTTGAGTCCAGAAACCCCCAAAATCACTTATTTTGGCTCAAAAAACGCGCAACTCAAAATCTGGGCGGTTTTGAGCAATTTTAAGTGAAAAATTAATGGATTTTCGGGCGATTTTAAGCAGTTTTAAGCGTTTTTAAGGCTCAAACAATTTGATTTTCTGAGCGTTAGTAGCGATTTTGGGCTTGAATTCAGAATCTGGAGGTATTTTGAGCAATTTTTAGCCACAAAACGCGTTTTTTGGGGTCTAAACCCGTTGAATTTTGAGCGATTTTCAGCAATTTCGAGCCGGAAAACCCCCTAAAACCCCTTCGATTTTTCCAGAAAAAAACGCCTTTGACTGAAAATGCTGACCAAAAAAATGACCTGTATTTCTAGCCGATGCTGACCCCAACATGACCAATTCTCGGCTGAAAATGACCAGTTTTGGCTCGAAAATGACCCAAAACTGTCCAATTTTGAGCTAGAAACCAGTCGATTCGAGTTTAAATAAACCTCTATTTTTGGATGAAAAATGAGTTGGAAATTGCTAATTTCGAATAGCTGAAAATGACCTGAAAACGTTCGATTTTGAACGCAAAATCAGTCAATTTGGCTGAAAAAATTAGCAATATTTTAAGCTAAAATTGCCCGATTTTCAGCTGAAAATTACCTAAAAATCACTGATTTTGAGCTGAAATTGGCCCAAAAACGCCCAATTTCGGCTCAAGCATTTCTCGAATTATTTCGCTAACAATGCTTGATTTTGAGCTGAAAAATCACGATTTTTGAGTCTGAAAACCCCTAAAACCCCCTCAATTTTTCCAGGAAAAACGCCAAAAAACGAGTCCGCTTCGCGATGGACGAGCAGGAATCAGAAGAAGAAGAAGAAGAAGAGGATCCAGAAGACGTTGACGATGAAGAAGCAGAAATGGACGACGAGGAAGAGGAAGAAGGAGGTCCAGTGCTTCTAGGCGCGGACCTAGAGGAGAAAAAGGAGTCGTCGGGCTTCGAACGTCGTCAGGAGAAGATGAAGGAACGAATTCAGAAGTTGGAGGAGGAGAATCTCGCCCCGAAGACGTGGGAACTGTCGGGAGAGGTTGCAGCCGACCAACGTGATCAGAATACGCTTCTCGAGAAACACGTGGACTTCGATCATGGAGCCAAGAGGGCTCCAGAAGTGACTGAAGAGTTTACGGATCGGCTGGAGAGTCTCATCAAGCAGAGAATCAAGGATAAGGCGTGGGATGATGTAGTCAGGGTGAAGAAGGTGGAGGCGAAAGGCGCCAGATTCGAAACGGAGGCCATTGAGAATGTGATGAATCAGAAGACGTCGTTGGCTGAGGTTTACGAGAAGGAGTATCAGAATGCGATGGGAAATGGAGGTGGTGGGGAGAAGAAGGAGAATCCGGCGCACGAGGCGATTAAGGGCAAGATGGGAGAGCTTTTTAGGTAAGGATTTGTTAATTTTGGGGAAAAATAGTGGGAAATTCGATGTTTTAAGATAAAATATGGGAAAAATGAGACTTTTAAAGCTAAAATTGTTGGAAAGTGACCTATTTTAAGCTATAAATCGTCTGGTTCAGGCTTTAAAAAATCTATTTTCTACTGAAATTAATCGAAAAATGACAAAATTTGAGTGCCCAAATCAGTCGAAGTTTCCCAAAAATGCTCAATTTTGATCTAAAATTGACCAAAAAATGCTCAAAAATCAAGGATTTTGAGCAAAAATCAGTCAATTTGGCTGAAAATAACTACTGAAATAGCATATCTAGAGCTGAAATTGGCTGAAAACGATCATTTTTGAGCTGAAATTGACCCGACAATGCTCTCAATTTTGATCTAAAATTCAGACTAAAATAACCTTTTTTCAGCTGAAAATGACCCAAAAAGATCCGAAACATGAGCAATTTTGAGCTCAAAATCGGTCATTTTGGCTGAAAATGAAAATCTTTTTGAGCTGAAATCGACTCAAAAATTAAGCATTTTCAGCTCAAAATCATCGAAATTATTCCAGAACAAATAACTAATTTCGAGCTGAAAATGACCCAAAAATGTTCTATTTTTAGCCGAAAATCAGTCAATTTGGCTAAAAATGAAAAAATCAATTTTTGGCTGGAATTGACCCAAAAATAACCGACTTTCGCTGAAAATTTGAATTTTTGAGCTTTTTTGCTAAAAAATTACATTTTTAGTCCGGAAAATCAGAAAAAAATTTTGAAAATTAAGATAAAATTCGTCTTTTTAAAGGTTTTTTGAGCCCAAAAAGCTCAGAAAATCCACTTTTTCGAATTTAAAAAGCAGTAAAAATTGAATTTTATGCCGAAATTCGTCATTTTCGAAGTTTTTTTAAGCCAAAAATCGGGATTTTCTATTTCCAGGAAATTCTAGTTTTGGCTGGAATTGAGACCCAAAAATAACCTACTTTCGCTGAAAATGATCCAAAATTGATCAATTTTGGCACAATAGGTCAATACCACTGAAAATGGCATATATTTAGCTGAAATTGACGCTTTTGCTGCCTATTTTTCAACCGAATTTTCAAAAGACTCTTCAAAAACTGATCTTTCAGACTGATCGACGCTCTAACGCACTTCGAATACAAACCGGATCAAGCTCGCGAGGAAGTCAAAGTCGTCTCCAACATGGCGGCTCTTCGTGTCGAAGAAGTCGGTATCACCGCATCAACCGAAGCCCAACTCATGGCTCCAGAAGAGATTGCCAAGAAAATGCGCTCCATTGAGAAGGGCAAAGAGGAGCGAACGGCGACGGATCGAGCCAGAGAACGACGTGCGAAGAAGGCGAAGCAGCGTTCGATGGTTGAGAAGTTTGGAGAGGAGAAGGTGTTCGGCGAGGCGAAGGAGAAGAAGAGGGAGAAGGCGGAGAGGGGGAAAGACAAGGGAGCAGGTGATAAGATTAAGAGCTCGAATTTCTTCGCAAAGCTCCAGGAGACGGTGCAGAATGAGAAAGCTGGGAATGCGGTGACGAAGAAGAAGAAGGTGGTGAAGAGAGTGAAGACTGATAAGAATTCCGCTGCTATCAAGTTGTAGATCGTGGGAAATTCTGGAAAAATCGCTGAAAATCGCTTAAAATTATGTCTGAAAGGTTCTAGAAGCCTAATTGTTTCAAATTCCTGCTAAACGGCCTAGAATTTTCCGGGTGTGAATTCTAGGCCACACTTTCCTGGCCTAGAATTTATCAGTTTTGAATTTCAGGTCATTTTTTCCTGGCATAGAATTTTCATTTCTAAATTCTAGGTCACATATTCTCGTCCCAGATTTTCCGCGTCTAAATTCTAGGCCACATTTTCCTGGCCTAGATTTTCTAGATTTTTTATCAGTTTTGAATTTTTTAGGCCACGAAAAATATCGTACAACCTTTATTAGAAGGGCCCTAGAGGCGCCCTACTAATACAGGTTATACGGTAGCTGGGATCCCAAAATTAATTTTTTTTTTGGAAATTTTGAGAACCTTTTCTAGAATTTTCTAGACTACTTTAAAAGCGATTTTTAGTGATTTTAAACGATTTTCTAGGGATTTTTTCTACATTTTTTTTCACATTTTCGCTGTTATTGTGCCTTAAAATTGTTAATTTTTTAATTGTTTCGTTTTTTCTTGTTTTTTGGGAATTTTCTAGAGAAAAATTGGGAGGTTTTGAGCCATTTTTTTGGGTTTTTTTTCCTGAAAAATGCCTATTTTTTAAGCTAAAAACTCGAAAATTTCAGTCAGAAAATCTAGATTTAAAAAAAAGCTATGGATAAATTTCAATTTTTCTGCCCCCAAAATGTCGATTTTTGACCTTAAAAAAGCCATTTTCATGCCAAACAATGACTTTTTCCGCCAGAAAAATCTTTTAAAAATCTGAAAATCTAGATTTTTAGATTTTTTCAAAATTTAAAATTTTCAATTTTATGCCAAAAAATGTCGATTTTTTGAGCTAAAAATTGGCATTTTTGACTGAAAAAAAATCAATAATTTTTCAACATTAAAAATCTGAAAATATCGATTTCTTGAAAATTTTACACTGATTTTCAGTTATTTTTTTTCAGCGATTTTCGGCTTAAAAATAGCTGAAATTTTGTAATTTTCAGTCGCAAAAATCTCCCAATATTCCTTCTTTTTCGTCTTTAAAAATTGTTCCCCCCAGTGTTTTTTTTTGTTAATTTTCCATTATTTTTTTTATTTTTTAGCTCGAAAAAAAAATCCATTTTTCCCAATTTTTTACCCTTGTTATCGCCAAAAATCCGGTTTTGAAAATTACCGGTTCTTATATTTTTGAATTTCAATTTTTTATAATTTTTATGACTATTTTCCTAAAACTGGACAGGTTTTCAGGGTTCTAATCACTGCAAACAACAAAAAGTCATCTCAAAAATTTTACGGCTCTTTCTTCAAATTTTTAAATAATAATTACGAAAAATATCTATTTATTTTGAACCCAACCCAAAGAAAAGAGGGAAAAAAGTATGCAAAATTTCGGCGGACCACCACAAGGCGGCGGCCCAGGACAAGGACAAATGTATGGTGGACCACCGGGCGGTCCGGCCGGCGGGCCACAACAAGGACCACCCATGCAGCAGCAACAATCGTCGCTGTTCAATTTTCAGCTGCCACAGCCGGCTGGGTTCAGCTCGCAGCATTTGCAACAGTACAAGGTTTGTTTGGAGGGGCTGAAATTTGACGGAAATTGATATAAAAACGGGATTTGAGATCCATTTCGGGTCGAAATCGGCGGAAATTCGCTGAAAATGGTCAAATTTGTGCTAGAATCGAGCTGAAAGGAGCAATTTTAAGCTGAAATTCGTTTAAAAAACCGTCATTTTTGTGCAAAAGTCGATGGGAAACGGTTCATTTTGGGCGGAAATTGATGGGAAACTGTCTATTTTTAGGCTAGAATCGACCTAAAATGGCTTATTTTGGGCTGGAATCGATGAAAAATTGAGTGTTGTTCTAAGCTAGAATCTGATGAAAATGGGTCTTTTTAGTCTAAAATTGCTAAAAATCGGTCCATATTGGGGGATGAAAACGATGGGAAATGGTCTATTCTGGGTTAAAATCGATGGAAAATGAGCCCCATTTTGAGCTAGAATCGAGCTAGAATGAGATGGAAAAAAGGGTCATTTTTGGCCTAAAAATCAGGAAAAACGGTTCTTTTTATGTTGAAAATTGAGCTAAAATCAACCATTTTGGGCTGGGCTTAAATCGATGAAAAACGGTCTATTTTGGCCTGAAATTGATGGGAAAATGAGCGCTTTCTTGAGCTAGAAATCGACTGGAATCGATCTAGACTAGCGTCGACGTCTTCAGAATCTTCCAGAATCTTCTGTGGAGTTCAGAACGTTGATTCTCAGATGGTCCACACGTCATCTTTGTGGTCTTCGGAACTTTCAAATTCTAACCTTTCGGATTTTGAAGAATCTAGAACTTTCTAGGCTTTTGGATTCTGGAATCTAGGCCTCTTGTTGAAGGGTTCTTACCCTGTCCAACGTCTTCTGGAAATGCCGTCTTCTGACGGACCACGTTATCTTCAGAATTCTTCGAAAATGTTAGATTCCAAGAATCTAGAACTTTCCGACGGCGCTTTATTAGCTTCTAGACCTCCTTTTGAAGCTTCTAGGGACTCAAATCCGATGTAACGTCTTCTGAAGATTCCTTCTTGGATTCTTTGACCTCTTTTTGAAAATCCTTATCGTTAGAATCCTCTGCAACGTCTTCTGGAAATTCTATTGAAACGTGTCCTTTGAAGACTATCAAAGAACATTCCAGAAGTTCTCAAAGATCAATTGTTGCAAAATCGCTACTCTCTCTAAGTCTCCTGTCTCGACACACTCTCTAGTACTGTCCATCCATGTACAATGCAAATGATGAGCAATGAATATAGAGATAGAGAGAGAGAAATAGTGTGCACTCTTGAGAGAGAGAGGGTGAGAGAATTCGCAGTCAATTGAATATTCCTCATCTATTGAGTTGCCTATTTTATCGTCGTCCCCCCATCACCGTCATTTTCATAATTTTAGAGTGATTTTTTGATTTTCTGGAATTTTCCAATTCTATATTTTAACCACGGTCGACCGCGGTCTATTTTCTTGTGCAATTTCATTCTAGAAGACGTCACGATGAATACGGCGGCGAAGGCCTCTTCTGGAGCTCTGACTACTTCTCCCCAACAAGCCAAACCAAAGCGGCCTAGGACATTGGCGGAGGTTAAGGTAATTAAGGAGACTTGGGACTTTCGGAACGATGGGGAACGGTCTGGAATATTCTATTCATAGATTTTTAAGCTAGAATGTTCTAGAAGATCTATCCTGGAGGCATCCAAGGCGTTTTATGCGATCTTTAAGGTATTTGGTAACCTAGACAGACGTCTGGAGAAGTTTTTCCCTTCAAAAGCCAGCACAACCGTTTTTCAAATACTGTGAAAAGCCGAAAATCGATTTTGACATGGTCTGGTTGCTAACGTGTCGGTTGCTCAGTGCTCCTGGGTTGGCTCTGAATCGGCTGGATCAGAATAATCTAGAGGTTCTAGACTAGAGCGTTCTGTTGCAGCGTCTATTGGTCCCAGTTGTCTTATTCTCGTTCATAAAGTGTTTAGAAGGATCTAGAACGTCTTCTGGAACCTTCTGTAGGCTATAAGGATCGGAAGAAAACATCCAGGATGAAGGATTCACTTGAAATTCGATTCTAGAAGGATCTAGAAGGATTTCTAGGATTCTATAGAACCTTCTCTAGAAAATTCGGCTGAGAATTTCATGAATTCTAAAAAATTGTAGGGGGGCTTCTAGTTCTGGAAGAATCTGGAATATTCTAGAAGCTGATGCATAGAATTCCAATGCTTCGAAGTTAGAAGTGACCCCAATGCTGTCAAGTCTGAGCTCCATTATCTCGGTTCCTATAAGAGTTATCGAAAATTTTTTAATTGATAAAATGTAGCTGATATCATGATAAGCATTTTATCAATTGACTGATTCTTGATAGCTCTTACGGGAACCCATATAATAGAGCTATAATGGAATAGCTTACCTAAATGCTCCAATAGTTCCCCTATACGTCCACTTCGAGCTCAATTATCACGCCTCCTATAAGAGATATTAAGGATCTGTCAACTGATAAAATGCTTATCATAATATCAGCTACATTTTATCAGTTGACAAATTTTCGATAGCTCTTATAGGAACCGAGATATTTGAGTTCAGGGGGCTGAGGGGCTCTTCTATTAGAGGATTTACGGTACTCTAAGCTTGCCTCTGATCTGCCAAAATTGAAGCTTCAAAGCTCAAAAATCTAGATTTTTGATCTACCCGATAATTTCAAAAATCAATTTTGATCTACGCAAAAAAAAATGATCTAGATCAATTTTTTTTTTAAATCACCTTGTTCAGCACCAACTGCACCAGTTCCAAACGCATCGAACGAACGCGTTGAACGCGGCCGTCCAAGCCGGTCAACTCAACCAATCGCAGTTCGCACACGAGATTCATATAATGAATGAGAAGATCACACAGGCGTACAACAAGTATCAACTCACCGCCAGACAAATGCATCATCAGCAACAACAGCAGCAGCAGCAAGGACAAGGTGAGCATTTTTAGCCTAAAAATTGGCATTTTCAGGTCATTTTGAGCTCAAAATCAGCTCTTTTAGTAGATTTTTAGCCTAGAAAACGGCTGTTTTAGGTAATTTTCCGCTGAAAAATGGGGATTTTTCGGTCATTTTTAGTCTGAAAAATCACCTTTTTGGTCATTTTGAGCTCTAAAATTGAGATTTCAGGTCATTTTCAGCCTAGAAGCTTATCGTTTTGGTCGTTTTGAGTTGTAAATCAGACACTTCAGGTGTTTTTCAGCTTGAAAATAGGCATTTTTAGGATATTTTGAGCACTGGAAATGGCTATTTTTAGGTCATTTCGAGGCTAAACATCGGTATTTTCCGTCGTTTTTTAGCCTGGAAATTGGTATTTTTGGGTTATTTTGACCTTAAAACCAGCATCTTCAGGTATTCTTCTGCCTAAAAATGGCTGATTTCCGGCTGTTTTCCGCTAGAGATATAGTGATTTTTAGGCACAATTTGAGCTCTAAAACCGGCATTTTAAAATCTTTTTGGGCTCGAAATTGAGATTTCAGGTCATTTTGAGTTAGGTACTTTCAGCTAAAAAATGGGGCATTTTTAGTAGGTTTGGGCTGCTCAAAAATTGTTTACTTTGCAGCCTATTTTTCGGTAAAAATGGCTCAAAAAATTGGCATTTTCAGATTAGTTTTTGGTTGGAAAATCCTACAGTTTCGGATCATTTTTAGCTTAATTCTACCCAGTTCCTAGGACATTTTTAGCCTGAAAATCGGCATTTTCAAGGCATCTCATTGGCTTCGAAATTGACGTTTTTAGGTGATTTTGAGCTCGATTTTTCCTAGGTCATGACCTAGTTTTTTCTAGGCTGTGACCTCATTTTTTCCTTGTCATGGCCTAGTTTCTTCTAGGTCATTTTGGGTCATTTTGAGCTCTGAAAATCGCGATTTTTCAGCCTAAAACTGGCTGTTTCAGTTCATGTGCTATCTAAACATCATTATTTTCCAGCTGTTTCCAGCTCGAAAATAGTGATTGTCAGGCCCATTTTTAAACTAAAACTCAACATCTTTGAATATCTTTCATCTTGAGCTATTTTTCCAGGCAGCTCCTCTTCCACCGGCCCCAACAACACCCAAGGACAAATGCCACCACCGATGGCACCAGCTGAGAAGAAGCGGATGATGGAGATGCAGAAGCAGCGGACGATGATGGCTCAGCAACAAGCAGCGCAGGCTCAACAGCAGCAGCAGCAACAACAAGGCCTCCGTTTTCCACAGAATGCCACGTTGCAGCAGCAACAACAGATGCGGCTACAGTACCAACAGCAACAGCAGCAAGCTCAACAGGCGGCTCAACAGGCGGCTCAACAGAACTCTCAAAATCAAGGGTATCGAGGAATGGGAGGTGGTCCCGGCGGACCCGGATATCCGCCACAAGGGATGCCGATGGGTGGTGGTTCGGGTGGGATGGGTGGTCCCGGTGGAATTGCCGGCGGACCGATGAGTGTGCAGAGTCAAGGAGGACCTGGGTCGAATATGCAACCACAGACACCGCGTAAGTGTCTGAAAATCAGTATTTTTGGGATCTTTTTTAGTCTGGAATCAGTTGTTTTACTCGATTTTGAGCCTAGAAATGGTTATTCCCTGGTAATTTTAGTATCATTTTGAGCTTAAAACCAGCAATTTTCGATCATTTTGAGCCTAGAAATCTCGATATTTTCCAGATAATTATTGTTAATTTGGGTCTGAAAATCTGCATTTTCAGGATGAAAAAGGGAGATTTTTACCCCAATTTTAGCATGGAAATGAGCATTTTCGGGGTCATTTTAAGCCTAAAATCAGTTGTTTCAGTCGATTTTGAGCCTAGAAATCGTTCTTTCCAGCAAAAATTGTGATTTTAGGTCATTTTTAATCTGGAAATCGGATTTTTTGGTTCATTTTGAGCTCAAAATCAGCATTCTCCCACCATTTTAGCATTGATTTTTAATCTGAAATTCGGCATTTTAGGCTATTTTCAGCTGAAAATACCTGAAAATTGGGATTTGAAGCTCAAATCTCGAGGTTTTATTTATAGCATTTTCAACCCGGAAATTGGCATTTTAGGTCGTTTTGATCGTGAAATCTGCAGTTTTAGGTTATTTTCAGCCTAAAATCGGAATCTTGACGCTTTTTTGATCTCGGATTCACATTTTTAGGTCGTTTTTTGTCTGAAATTCCTATTCTTAAGTCCAGTTTGAGCTGGAAACCGGCGTTTTTAGGAAATTTCAAGTCTAAAAATGACATTTTTAGATCATTTTTAGGCTGGAAATACCTATTTCCTGGCATTTTTGAACCCGAAAATTGCATTTTTTCAGCTATTTCTTGCCTCGAAATTCATAAAAGTCGGGAAAAATGTTATACGACCTGTTTCCCATGGCTTTTTTTAAAATCCAAAACTGTCTTTTGTTTTTTTCTGAAAATTCTCAAAATTTTTCACTATGGGAATATGGGAGAAATTTCTGAAAAAATCTAATTTTCAGTCAAAAAAAGTCAGGATTTTCAGCTTCAAAATACCATATTTTAGGCTGAAAGTTAATTATTTCCAGCAGCCCAAAAATGTTGTTCTCATTAGCTTCTAGAACCATCGCGTAGGCTGAAAATCCCGGATTTTTCGGTCATTTTTAATCTGAAAAATCACCTTTTTGGTCATTTTGAGCTCTAAAATTGAGATTTCAGGTCATTTTCAGCCTAGAAGCTTATCGTTTTGGTCGTTTTGAGTTGTAAATCAGAAACTTCAGGTGTTTTTCAGCTCGAAAATAGGCATTTTTAGGATATTTTGAGCTCTGGAAATGGCTATTTTTAGGTCATTTCGAGGCTAAACATCGGAAATCAGCTAGAGAATTTTTAGCTTAAAAATCAACATGTTCGGGTCGTTTTGAGTTCAAAATCAGCACTTGCGGTAGATTTTTAGCCTAGAAAACGGCATTTTTAAATAATTTTCTTCTGAAAAATGGGATTTTTCGGTCATTTTCAGTTTGCAAGCAGCATTTTCAGTAGATTTTCAGCCTAAAAGTGACAATTTCCCGGCTGTTTTTAGCTCAAAAATCGACATTTTTGGGTCATTTTGAGCTCTAAATCGGTTTTTTTTGCTGTTTTTCAGTCTGAAAATCGGTGTTTTTTTGGTTGTTTCTAGCCTAAAATCAGCCATTTCCTAGATTTTCAAGCTCGAAAATATCGTCTTTTCAGCTCTGGAAATTGGTATTTTTGGGTTATTTTGACCTTAAAACCAGCATCTTCAGGTATTCTTCTGCCTAAAAATGGCTGATTTCCGGCTGTTTTCCGCTAGAGATATAGTGATTTTTAGGCACAATTTGAGCTCTAAAACCGGCATTTTTAGAACCTTTTTGGGCTCGAAATTAGACGCTGTAGAGATGGCCTCAAAAATCTCATTTCCAGTCAAAAACGTCCGGATTTTCAGCTTCAAAATACCAACCATTTCAGACTGAACGTTAATGATTTCCAGTCCGAAAATGTGTTCTCATTAGCTTCTAGAACCATCGCGTAGGCTGAAAATCCCGGATTTTCAGCTCCATCCTAGGCATTTTCACAGAACAGTTTTCAGCTTAAAATTAACGATATTTTCAGCACTAAAATATGCTGAAAATTGTTAATTTCCTCTCTAAAATGCCGATTTTCCAGAATCGCACGGTCCCGCATCTGTATCCAACCCGGCTTCTGTTCAACAGCAACAGCAACAACAACAATTCCAACATCAGCAGCAACAGCAACAGTACTACCAGCAGCAACAAAATCAACAAATGCAGCATATGCAGCAACAGCAACAGCAGAATATGCAGCATCAGCAGCAACACATGCAGCAAATGCAGCAGCATCAACATATGCAGGTAAGGAGCTGTGGACCAATTCGGCGAATCTACCGTAATCTGAAAGTGCCTGGGTACAATTTCACAGTTGAAACGTTATTTTGGAAGCCAAATAAGACTCAAAATCGGCTTTAGAACCCCTGAAAACCTATAAAACTCTCAAAAATCGATGAAAATCGGCATTTTTCAAAAAATTGCTCGCGTGGCCTAGTGGCATTTTGGACGGGTGAATTTTCGAATCTCAACACCAGGGTTCGATTCCACCCTGCGGAAAACATTTTTTTGCTTTTATTTAGAACAAGAATTAGGGGTTGTTAGGAGGTTCTAGGTGCATTTTGAGCATTTTTGGGTTACTGTAGTTCTGTAAAACTACCGTATCTCGAGCTACAGTAATCCTAGAGAAATGAAATTTGGAGCATTCGACTTGACTCATGAAGAGCTTTCGAATGAGTTTGAAAAAGACGCATTTTGAATTATTTTTTGGGTTACTGTAGTTTTGCATGCTACAGTAATCCTAGAGAAATGAAATTCAAAGTTGTACTTTTGTATAGCGCTGCGTAGCTGACATTGAATGGCCGAACCTTGACAGCAAGATCTTTCTAGGCCACGGTCTCGATAGCCTCGAAGTTCCAGCAATCTCCCTATATCAAAACTACCGTAATCTAAAGACAAAGGGGTCAGTTTGATCTCCCAGGCTTTCGGATTACGGTATTTCTGGTTAGAATGGTTTAGCTGGCCCTGGATCCTTCCTAGTTGCCCCTTGCGGCTAGCTGCCTTTGTCGTAGCTGACCTTATATGGCTAAGCTGAGCTGTAGACCGATCCTGGACAGCTAGATCAGAAAAAGCTGTGCCTCTGGATCCGGAATGTTTATTTATCAAATGTGGCCGAAGCGGAATCTAGGCCACGGTCCCCAATGGACCTCGTACCTGCAATTCCGAGGGCCGAGAAGACCTAGGACACCTCAAAGCTAATATCTCTAATTTCCAGCAACAACAGCAACAAGGACACCCTGGCCAACACCTCCAACAACAACAATCCCAACAACCCCACGATGCCTTCCAACAACCGTCTGCGCCCGCTCCACCACCAGCTCCACCAGCCGAGAAGACGGAGCAAGTCAAGTACCAAGAGCTGCTCAAAGAACTTCGCGCTCAATACTACGACGTGTTGATTGGAATGCAGAAACGGCAGGTGACACAGAAGGGAATGGTTCCGATGATACAGATATTGGATGGCGAGAGACAGGTCCCGTATGAGCAGCTCAAGGGATTGGCACCGTCGTTGCAGAGACTGATGATTCGCGATTGTCCGACGTTTCCGTTGTTGGAGGAGTTGCGGCGCATTGTTTTTAAGGTTGGTGTTTCTTTCCAACTTGGTGGTCCAACTTAGAAATACAAGAAACTATGCCAAAGTATGATTTATTTGGAAGCTCCTGTTGTGTCATGATCAAAACAGGTTTCAGATTCGAAAACTAACGATTTTGAAGCGAGTTACGCTTGGTGGCCTAGAAACCCAATTTTGAGGAAAACTAGGCCATGATGCACACATTTCGAAAGAGCATGTTTTGAGAGTTTCATATCAGTTCTTAGATTTCAAAAATATCAATTTTGTAGCGAGTTATGGGCATTTTAGTTTCATGGCCTAGAAATCCAAAACTAGGCCATATCGACCCTAAAACTAAAATGGTCATAACTCGCTTCAAACTCGATATTTTTCGAATCTGAAAACTGATATGGAACGTTCAAAGCATGCTCCTTAGTATCATGTACACCATAACCTGACTTTTTTTTCGAAATTTGGATTTCTTGGCCATCATTTTGAAATTGAAAAACTAGGCCATCGTGTACATGGTTCTGTAGAGCATGGTTTGAGAGTTCCATATCGATTTTTAGATTTCAAAAATATCGAATTTGAAGCTAGCTACGACCATTTTAGTTTTGGTGGCCTAGAAATTCAAAACTAGGCCACAACTCCTCTCAAAATCGATATTTTTCATATCTATAAACTGGACCAGAAATCTCAAATCATGTCCTTTAGAATCATGCACACCATGGCCTAACTTTTTCGAAATTTGGATTTCTAGGCCACCAGAACTAAAATGGTCATAACTCCCTTCAAAATCAATATTTTTCAAATCTAAAACCTGGTATGGAACTCTCAAAGCATGCTCTTTAGAACCATGCCCATAATGACCTAATTTTCACAATTTGGATTTCTAGGCCACCAACCTGAAATTGTCGTATTTTGCTTCAAAATCAATATTTTCCATTCCAGAAAAAGGAGGACCGCGAGAAAGCCATCACCCAGACATTCTCCTCCGAGAGAGATCCAACATTTTCGGCGGAAAAGGCGTCGGCTAGACTCCGAGCGAAATGCCAAGACGACCCGTGTGGAGTTGCTCCGTGGAGCTCTGTGAAGCATCTGGCGATTCGAGTACCCGACGCTATCCGAATTTTGTATCAGAAGCCGAAAGTGGAGACTCCGGATGACGTGGAGGAGAAGAAGACGTTGAAACGAGCGAGAGGTGTGGAGGATGACGAGATGGAGATGGATATAAAGGCGAAGAGAATCAAAGGGGAGGAGGCGACGACGCCAGAGCGAGATGAGGATACCACAATGATTCCGGAGCAGTTTTTGGTAAGCCTAGGCCATCTGAAATGGTCCAGAAACCGCCAGTGGCCTAGAAATCCAACGTTTGCGGAAACTAGGCCATGGTGTACGTGATTCTAAAGAGCATTCTTTGAGAGTTCCATAGCAGTTTTAAGATTTGAAAAATGTCAATTTTGAAGCCAGTTATGACCATTTTAGTTTTGGTGGCCTAGAAATCCAAAACTAGGCCATATCAAACCAAATTTGAAATGACTATAACTCGCTCCAAAATCGATATTTTTTAAATCTAAGAACTGATACGGAACGCGGAAAGAGTGCTCTTTAGATCCATGTACATCATGGCCTAGTTTTCATAAAATTGGATTTCTAGTCCACCAAATTCAATTGTTCAAAGAATTCGATCAGCTCGGCCAATTTTCGAAACCGAAATAAAATCAAAAGCCTTATTGGCCGTAATGGTACCATGGATAACCCCATAATTGTTACCATAAACCAACCCATAGCTGGTACCATGAAGGACCCCATAGTTGCCACTATGATAGATTCCATAATTGATACCATGAGCCGCCCCATAATTGGTACCATGAATCAACCCATTATTGGTACCATGCACCACTGGTACCATGGATGACCCTATAATGATTATCTCGAATGACCCCATGATTGGTGCCATGAATAACCCCATGATTAGTACAGCGAACCAATACATAGCTGGTACCATGAATCCCATTATAATAGGTACCCCATAATTTATATCACGAGAGACCCCATAATTGTTACCATAAACCAACCCATAGCTAGTGCCACGAGAGACCCCATAATTGGTACCATGAAACACCCCATAAAGGGTATCATGAATGACTCCATACGTGGTACCATAGACTACTCCATAATTGATACCATAAATAAGCTACAGTTGGTACCATGAACCAACCCACAATTGATACAATGAATGATATTTTTTAAATCTAAGAACTCCCTATAATTGGTACGATGAATGACTCCATAAGTGGTACCATGAACCACTAGTACCACAGGTGACCCGATGATCAGTACCATGAACCACCCCATTATCGGCATAGCGTACCCCATAACTTCACGTCAAAATTTTCTTTAAAAATTCTTTCAATCCCGAAATTCCCCCATTTCTTCCAGATCAAGACGGTATTCGACACTCGCCAACCATGGATCATCCCTCCTAAGGCACGACAGGAACTCCTGAAACTCTCCAACTGGACCGTCGACGATCAAAGTCTTCCATCCAGCTCCAAAACGCCGTTCATCATCATTTGTGTCAAATCCCCATACCTCCTGGTGTCTCCACTGCGTGTCTGTCTCCCACACTCGTATCCATCCACTCCAGTCTCCATTCAATTCGACAAAACGTTTCCCGAGGATTCAGAATACGGAGCGGCGCTTCAGCAGTTGTACGAGAAGCATTTGAGTACGAAGCCGGCTGTGCGCAGCCTGACGGACTTTGTGGAGGCGTGGCAGTCGGCGTGCGAGCAGTATCTCGTCTTTATGCCAAAATATCAAGCGGACAGTTGTGAGTTGTTTTTTTTGGATTTTGGGGTGAAACAAAGGGAAACTTTTGAGCCAAAATTGGAAAAAATCGGAGCTCTTGTGAGCTTGGAAATGACGCGGTTTCGAAGTGACGCGGAGCCGAAAATGGTGAAAAATGAACTTTTTTGGGCGGAGCTAGCTTTGAAATCGCGAAAATGGACCTTTTTCGTAACCGGGACGGTTTAGAACTGGTCATTTTAGAACCGGACGTTTTAGAACTAGTCATTCCACAAGAATGGGCGTTTCAGAACCGGACGTTTTAGAACGGGCCAATTCGCAGCTGGCCAATTCGTAACCGGGACGTTTTAGAACCAGACCTCTCGCTACTGGTCATTTCAGAACTGAACGTTTTAGAACTACCGTAAAACCTCTAATAGAACGACACCCGGATCGTCCACTTTGAGCCTATATATCTCACTTCTTTTGAAAGATATCAAAAAGTTGTCAACTATCAAAATGTTTATCAGGATATCAGCAACATTTTACTAGTTAGCCACTTTTTGATATCTTTCAAAAAAAGTGAGATATATAGGCTCAAAGTGGACGATCCGGGTGTCGTTCTATTAGAGGTTTTACGGTAGTTATTTCACAAAAATGGGCGTTTTAGAACCAGCCATGTCGCAATTTTTTCTCGAAACGGTTATTTCAAAACAGACCATTTCGCAACCGGGACATTTTAGAGCCAGACGTCTCGCAACTGGTCATATTTCAAAACCGGACGTTTAAGAGCTTGTTATTTCACAAAAATGGACGGTTTAAAACTGGCCAATTCGCAGCTGACCATTTCGCAACCGGGACATTTTAGAACCGGACGTTCCGCACCTGGTCATGTTTCAAAACTTGACGTTTTAGAACCGTTTTTTTTTCTCGTAGATGTTCATTTCGCAACTGACCAATTCGCAAAAAAATCAAAATTTCAAGAATTCGAAAAATCCAAAATATTTTTTTAAAAATCAAAAATTCTGAATTTCTGATGTTCAAAATTTCCGAAATCCGGAAATTCTCAAAATTCTAAACTTTTTTCAAAGTTTAACTATTCAAAAATGCGAAAATCCAGAAATTCAAAAATTTGAGAATTCAAAAGTTCAGAAATCCAAAAAATCGAAAATTAGAAAATCCCAAAAATCTCCAAAAATTGTTGCAATCGTGTCTAAAAGTACCGAAAATGGTCCGAATTTCGACAAAAACCACCCGAAATTCCCTGAAAATTGGTCTGAATTTCCTTAAAATTGTCTGGAAATTTCTAGAAAATTTCCAAATTTCGAAAAATTCCATTTTTTCAGCGCCCGAACAACTGTCGGTCATTTCGCAACCGTGACACTTTAGAAACAGCCATTTCGCAACTTACCAATTCGTAACCGCGACGTTTTAGAACCGGTCATTTCGCAACCGTGACATATTAAGACCGGCCATTTCGTTTTTTTTTCAAAATCCAGAAATTCCAAAATTCGAAAATCCAGAAAATAATAAATGTTTAAATTTGGAAATGCAAAAAATCGAAAATCCAGACATTCTAGAAATCCAGGAATTCAACAATTCGAAAAAAACTAAAATTTAGAATATAGAAAATCAAGAATTTCCAATATTTTAGGCTTAAAGCATACTTGTAACGGGCCGGGCTTTTTCCCGAATTTCGGAGGTCCGGCCCGGCCCGGGCCTGTCATTCCAAAAGTTTTGAAATTTTCAAAAAACACATAAGGGGGGACCCTTATGTGATTTTTTTCGATCAAAAAATTTTTTTCGGGTTTTTTTTTTCGATATTTTTTGATCAAACAGACAAACAATCCAAAAAGCACAAAAAAAATATATAGAAAATCGTATTGAGAGCTCAAAATTCGGTTCAAAATGACAAAATTTTTGCTACCGGTCCGAGCCCTGGCCTTGAAATTTTCCTCAGTCCCGGCCCGGGCCCGGAATTTTACAAATATGGTTTAAAGTAATCCCGAAAATCAAAAAAATGCCTGAAAGATAGTCTAAAATTACCTGAAATTTGCCTGGAAATTTCTAGAAAATTTCCAAATTTCGAATAATTCCATTTTTTCAGCGCCCGAACAACTGTCCTCCCAGCAATCCCAAAAAACGCCAGAAATGCCGAATTACGGACGTACGGTGGCGGCCGCTGGACCAGCCGTTGCTCAGCTCTCGACCCCAAAAGGAATTGTGATTTAATTTTAAAAATTCAATTTTTTTGAAAATTTGAATTTCCCTCAAAATTCTGTACATCTTTCTGTCTTTTTTCCCTCTCTCTCTACTTTTAAAAAATGTAATTTTATTCCAGCATTTTTCTGTGATGAGTGGGCAGGGTTGCAATCTGACGGGCTGGCCGGCGGGCCGGCCCGGCCCGGCCGGTAAAGCCCGGCCCGAGGGAAAAAACCAGGGCCCGGCCCGGCCCGGCCGGCCGGCAATTAATTAATATTTGAACGTTGTTTTTTTTTCGACGATTTTTTTGCGTTTATCAACCGATTTTTCTCCTTTTTTTGTCGCGAATTGCCTGATAATCCCTATTTTTCATAAAATAATTATTTTCGGAGCAAACGACAGCCTACGGCTCGCCTAGAATTTTAGAATTTTAGAATTTCAGAATTTTTGAATTTTAGAATTTTAAAATTTTAGAATTTTAGAATTTCAGAATTTTTGAATTTTAGAATTTCAGAATTTTTGAATTTTAGAATTTTAAAATTTTAGAATTTTAGAATTTCAGAATTTTTGAGTTTTAGAATTTCAGAATTTTTGAATTTTTGAATTTTAGAATTTTAAGAATTTTAGAATTTTAGAATTTAATTCTTCAATAATTTCTGTTTTTTCTTAAATTCGAACGGGCCGAACCGGCCGAACCGGCCGGGCCGGGCCGGAGAAAAAATAATCTCGGCCCGGCCCGGCCGGTTGCAACCCTGTGAGTGGGCGGTTTTGGGATATTTTGAAAAACGGTTGCCAAATGACTTGTTTTTTGAAAAATCCCCTCAGATTTACATGAAAATTTATATGATAAATGATTAAATTGTGAAAATTTTTATAGAAAAAAAAGAGATTAGGAAAAAGATCATAGAATAGTGAAACCGTAGGAAAGCAATTTTTTAGAATAAAAAATCGATAATCGATTAGACACTGGCCGAAACACGACACAAATCGGCGACGAGGCGGGAGAGTTGGAGTTTTGAGGAGAGTCCTTGGATGATTCTCATATGGCACATGGCGATTTCCTGGAAAATGTTATAGGTTTGAAATTTCGGAATTTTTTGAAAAATTTTAGTCCAAATGGCTGAAATTTCTGCGTTTCGTCTTATTGACCATAATGGTACTTTGAACCACCCCATGATCGAATGTCCTCATTATTGATACCATAAATTACTCCATGATCGGTACCATTAATCGTCCCATAGTGGATAGCATGAATCACCCCATCATTGGTACCATGAATGACCCCATGATTGATAGCATGAATGTCCCCATTATAGATACCATGAATGACACAATAATTGCTAGCATGAACCGTCCTATAATTGGTACCATGGATTACCCCATAATTGGTACCATGAATCGCCCCATCGTTGATACCATAAATCACCCCGTAATTGGTGCCATGAATGCCTCCATAATACCATAAATAATCCCATAATTGACACCGTGGATAACTCCGTTATTGGTACTTTGAGAGACCTCATAATCGATACCATAAATGACACCATAACTGGTATTACGGACTACCAGATAAATGGTACCATAAATGCCCCCATTGTTGGCACCATGAATATCACCCCGTAATTGGTACCATGATTTAATATGAATCACCCCATAATTGCGAGCATGAACCGTCCTACAATTGGTACCGTGAATAACCCCATGATTGATACCATGAACCACCCCATAATTGAGACCATGAACTGTCCTATAATTGATACCATGAATCGCCTCATTGTTGGTACCATGAACCACCTCATGGTCTTTACCATGGATGACCCCATTGTTGGTACTATGAATCGGCCCATAGTTGATACCATGATTGTCCCCATAACCGGCACCATAAATGCCCCCATAATTGATACCATGATATACCATGAATAACCCCATAAATTATACCATGAGCAACTCCATGCAAGATACCATAAATCATCCCATTTTCGATACCATTTTGGACCTCATAATTTACCCCATAATTGGTACCATGAACCACGTCATGATTAGGCTGAAATTTCAGATATTCTTGTCCACTTTTTCTCTGTTTGTTTTCCAATTTTCACCATTTTTGGCGGAATTTTCAAAAAGTTTTAAGCAAAAAAAATAAATTTCATTGAAAAATCGAAATTTTTTTCAAATTTTTGGCTGAAATTTCGAACTAAAAATTTCGAATTTTTCAAAAATTATCGCTCATTTTCGGTTTCATTTTCCTCCATTTTCTATACAATCTTCTAAATTTTCTCCCAATTTCCCCCATTTCCTCCCTACCCGAATGAACTCCTGTCTCAACTGCTCGTTGACTCGTTTCGACAGCTCCACCGTCTTCACAACTCGAAACAAAGTGGACACAATGTCGTCGGACGAGAATCCCAGCCGATGGAATTCGTGAACAATTTTCGACGCCTCGAAAAACTTCCCATCCACACAGTAGGCCAACATTTTGATCATTAGGTCCGGGTGCGGCTCATCGCACACTTTCAGCACGTTCTCCTTGTTCACCTGTTCGTAGGCGTTCACCGTTGCCTGGAAATACCAAAAATTGGGGTTGTCTGTGTGTCCGGATGTCCAAGAAATTCGAGAAAAAATGGCCATGATCAACAATGCTGAAAAATGAGCCAAAATGAATGAAAAATAGGTCAAAATTAATATAGATTACTGTAATTTTTACTAGTAAGGCATACCTTTTTTCTTACTTTTTAAGAATAACTTCTGGCCAATTTTTTTGGCTTAAAAACGTCATTTTTCATGTACTTTTCAGAGGGGTTACTGTAGATTAGCCATTTTTGGCTCAATTTCATCCGAATTTTCTCTATTTTTCCGTCTCCCTATCAATCTATGAACTCCCACCTGAAGATTGTTCAACGCCTGTCTCATATCGCCCTGAGCCGTGAACAGAATCGCTTCGAGACCACCGTCGTCATGGTTGACGTCTTCTGCTTTGGCCACTTCGACGACACGTGACATCAGCTCGGCCGCAGTCAGCTTTGTATAGCGGAGAAGAGCGCATCGGGATTGGATGGGTTCTGGAATAAATTCGAGGGTTTTTTGGAGAATTTTTGGGGGATTTAGGTCAATTTCAGACAATTTCAGAGCCATTTTCAGTTCAATTCGAATTTTTTAAAAAAGTGATTTTTCGGCAAATTTAGGATCATTTTTCATCGAATTTTCGACCATTTGTCTTGATTTTTGGACTAATTTCAATGGATTTTTGGTCATTTTTCGGACTCTTGGACAATATTTAAAGGGGGACTCCGACCAAAAATTTTTATTGCATTAAAATGTGTTAAAAATTATCTATTTTCCGAATATTATTGCGAAATTTTTTTTTTTAATCCGAAATTACCGAAAAACGGCGTTGAAAAGGAAAAAAATTCAAAAAAAGGTGCCGCCGGGGGACGAGGATTTTCAGTGAGAAACCTAGGCCACGACACCTGACAGCCTTTTTTTCAAGTCGCCGACAGTGGTTTTTTACGTTTTTTACCTGCCGGACATGAAATTGAAAAACATTCGGAAAATTTGCCACGTAGGAAAGGCGCCCGCTGCCGTGGCCTAGGTTTCTCACTGAAAATCCTCGTCCTCCGGCGGCACCTTTTTTGAATTTTCTTCCTTTTCAACGCCGTTTTTTGGGGATTACGGATTTTTTTTGAATTTTTTCGCAATAATATTCGAAAAATAGATAAATTTTAACACAGTTTAATGCAATAAAAATTTTTGGTCGGAGTCCCCCTTTAACGATTTCTGGCCCGTTTCGCCAAAGTGATTTTCAGACCAATTTTACAATAAATTTTGAGCAGTTTTTAGTAATTTTTGGACAATTTTCATTCAAATTCAGTCTATTTCAGTGAATTTTGAGCCATTTTTAAGGATTTTCGGACCATTTTTAGTGAATTTTGGACGATTTTTGAGCGAAATTCAGGTCATTTTCGACTTTTTTTTTTTCGATATTTCCAAACTATTTTCGTCGATTTCAGGTCATTTTTAGTGATTTTTGGAGACCATTTTTCATCAATTTCAGCCTATTTTCGCGACTTTCAGACTTTTTAAACGCTCCGTTTTCATCTATTTTGGACCGATTCCAGCCAATTTTTTAGCTGCTTATAATCATTTCAGGACCATTTTTAAGTGGCTTTTTAGACAGTTTTCATGGACTTTTGGGTCGAGTTTCTTCAGTTAAATTTAGTCTATTTTAGTGAATTTTGGACCGTTTTTAGGGATTTTTGGACCATTTTTAGTGAATTTTGGACGATTTTTGGCTATTTTCAAAGTGATTTTCCGACCAATTTCAATAAATTTAGTCTATTTTAGGGATTTTGGAGCTACTTTCAGTAAACCTATGACTTTTTTCAGCGATTTCAGCCTATTTTTCGAGAGTTATGCACCGTTTTCAATGAATTTGAGCCATTTTTAGTCAAATTTAGGCCCGTTTCCGTCCAAATGGAGCAATTTTCAGTGGATTTTGAATTATGCGATTCTTCCCCTACCAATAATCTTCTCCGATTGATTACACGCCAACGCGAATCTCGTCGTCTTCGAGTAAATCTCCATGGTGCGACGAAGAGCCTGGAAATTCCAAATTTTCAGAATTTTCATCTAGGATTTTCAAACCTGCTGAGCGCCCTCGGTCATCGAATCCGCCTCATCAAGGATGATGATTTTGTGGCGTCCTTCTGGAAGTGTCACTCTTGTCTGGGCGAACGTTTTGATTCGATTTCGGACCACATCGATTCCTCTAAAAGTTAAAAAATTGAACTTTTCGATTTTTTTTTCAGCTCAACCTCTCATCAGAAGCGTTCAATTCGAGTACAGCGTCTTTGACCTTGTCGCCAAGCAGCTCTCTGGCCAGCGCCCACACCGATGTCGTTTTTCCGCATCCGGGCGGTCCCTAAATACATTTTTGAGCGGGAAATTTGAATTTTCATTTGAATTTTCTCATACAGATAAAATGATATTCGGCACATTTCCCTCTTTGGCGATCACTTTCAGCCGCTCCACAATATTTTCGTTGCCCACGATGTCGGCAAGAATTTGTGGCCGGTATTTCTCGACCCATGGCGCTAGCTCGTTTTTTTGCGCTTTTGACATTCTGAAAATCGAATTTCGCAGGTCGGAATTAGTGGGATTCCCTCTAAAAAAAAGAAAAATCGGCAAGAAATGAAGGGAAAAACTCGAAAAACAAGATTGGCGCCAAAAACATACTTGTCCGAGAGGAGTACATCAGGCGGTGGACTAGATTTCCCCCACGGCCTTCTGGTAGAAATTTTGGCGCGGGTTTGAGTAGCAATTATTAATTAGGCTGTAAAATAACAGAATTATTCATTATTTCAAAAAAAGAACATATAAATTATCACAAGAAAAAAAAACAAGAAAAAAAGAGAGAAAGGCAATTGTCGACCAGTTTTAGTTTCAGAGGGAGGAAAAAAAAGGAAAAAAAGGGAACTTCTAGAAAAACCGAGAATCTTTAAAATTAGGGAAAGATAACTTAAAAATTAGACTTAAAATTAATTATAGCTCAACAAATTGAAAACTGTTACTGAGCGAACAAAACTTCAAACTGCTCAAATCATTGGTTTCGTTCGTTCCAGTGGCACATTTTCCAACGGAATGATTGAATAATTTGCCAGATGTCTGAAAATTCGATCAATCATCGATTTTTATTAATTCAAATTCTCACCGAAACTTGCCACTTCTGATGGGCACCTTGGTTATGGCAAAGGATCACACTGATGCCCCGCAGCGAGTCCAAACACATTCTTGACGAGCCCATCGGTCGGAGCTCTCCCTGAAAAGCAACAATTTGAAGTTTAGAGCTTAAATTACTCTAGGATACTAAAAGCAAAAGAGAAAACCCCAAGGTGGAATCGAACCTGTGACCTTCAGAATGGCTAGCAAACGCGCAAGCCACTCGGCCACCGGTGCCCACTTGTTGAATGGGGCGGCAAGGCGTATAGAAAAGAGGGGAAAAAGGCGGCTTCCTCAGGTTGGGTGGGGCGCAGAAATTAATTTCGAAAAATTACATTTTTGCAAAGTGCGCTCTAATGCAAAAAATGCAAACACCAACCGTAGAAGAGTATTTCCACTGCTGCATTCGTTCCAAATGGTTACATTTTCGCATTTCCACTCGATTCCCATTGGCTATTCGTCCTTGAGTGTTCTCAGCACTCAAACAATGCGTTCCATTTGCCATTTTAATCAAATACTTCTTTCCAGGCATCAATATATTATCATTTAACTGATTGGGGGTGTTATCAGGTAGCAGTTCCGGATAAATATTCTCCAAATACCATTTGAAAGGTTTGCATTGAAGATTTTGGCGCAAATTGATCCTCGATGTCAAATCACCGTAATCCGTGAAGGTACGGTAGGTGGGGCGGGCTTCGAAAAAGTTCTCCAGGTACTCGTCAAGCCAGACACGTGCCAGACGGACCGAGTTTTTGCCCATAGAGTCGGTTTTGATGCCGTACGGACGTTGGCGGCTGGAATTTTTTTTTTTTTTTGAAAAAAAAATGTTTTTGAAAGATTTTGGAATTGTTTTTCTAAGCTTTTCTGAGCTTTCAAGCCGGAAAAAATACTTACCGGAAAATATGTCCAACTCGGCTGCACGGCATGATCAGCAACTCTCCTCCGCAAGTCCAAATCTGAGAAATTTAGCACTTGTGGTTTTAAAATTGGCATACCTTGAAAACAGAGTGAGCTAGATAAAATTTGTTTACTATAAAAATGTAGAGCGTAAAATTTTACACAATTTGTTAGTTGAAACATTTTTGATAGCTGAATTGGTTTAGGAGATATACGTCCTCAAAAAGACGCAGAGAAGGAGGCGTGTCTGCTTCCTAGAGGGGGTGCACACTTTAAAGGCGCATATCTCGTAAACCATGATAGATATTCAAAAGTGATAAATTACAAAAGTTATCTACATAAAATTTTACACTTTTTGTTAATTGGTAATTTTTAGTAAAGTTGAATGGTTGAGGAGATATACTTTGTTAAAGTAGGGTGTGCTCTTTACTGGAGAAGGGGAAAGGGACCACCAACTATAGTTCTCAAATTTTTGTCAACTAACAAGGCATGTAAAGTTTCATGCTCTCTATTTTGGTAGTTTGCAATGTTTGCTAGCTATCATAGTTTTAGAGATACTCGCATTTAAAGTGTGCGAGCCTCCTTCTCTGCGTCTCATCTACGGATGCGGATAATTTAAAGGCGCATATCTCAAGTACCATTAATGCTATAAAAACTTTGTTAACTAACAAAATGTTTGAAATTTTATGCTCTTTATTTTTGCAGTGTACAATTTTTTGATATCTGTGACGGCCTTCAAGTTAGCAATCCATCACTCACCCTAAAACTAATTTCCACATTCTCAGCTCCCCACACATCCATTCCCTCATCATAACTGCCGATTTCGAAAAAGTAGTCTCTATCGATTGCAAATAATCCACCGGCCATTGTTGGCGATTTTAACGGATTCAAATAGTTCATCGGATCCTCAAAATACGATCGATGCGGATAGTCCCATTTGAATGTCATTGCCCAGTTGACACCGCCCGTACAAACTGGCGATTCCACGTATTTCATGGTAATTGCGTCAATTATATCAATAATTGGGCACACGACACGACGACGGTTTTGTTTGATTTGGTCCAAAAGTGGAGGAAGCCAATCTTCGTTTACTTCGCAGTGACTGTCAAGGAAGACCTGAAACTGCATGTATTGTATTTTGGCGTATTTCTCTGAACCCATTGGGTTTATAAAAAAGTTGTCAACTATCAAAATATGTAAAACTTTATAATCTTAATTTTTTTAATTGAGTACTTTTTGATATCATTCATGGTTCTTAAGATATGCGCCTTTAAAGTACGTGCATCCTTCGAGGAGACGTATGAGATGAAGGAGGCGTGCACACTTTAAAGGAGCGTACCTCAAGAACCATAATAGCTATCAAAACGTTGTCAGCTAAAAGAATTTGTAAAATGTTATGCTCTTTATTTTTATATTTTACAATTTTTAATAGCTTTCATGGTTTTGGAGAGATAGGAGGCGCAGAGAAAGAGGCGTGCATACTTTAAAGGCGCATATCTCAAAAACTATGGCAGCTAGCAAAAAGTTGTAAATTACAAAAATTATTTACATAAAATTTGAAACATTTTATTAATTAGCAAAATTTTGATAAGTTGTAGGATTTACGAGATATAGGCATTTGTAGTTAGTAAGACGTTGACCCCGACTCCACCAACGCTCATATCTCCAGACCCATTAAATTTATTCTAACATTATTAATTATGAAAATGTGTAAAATTTTATGCTCTTTATTATTTTAATTAACAACTTTTTGATAGCTTTCATGGTTTTAGAGATATGCGCTTTTGAAGTAAGTGCCCCCATTTGTCAGAGGGGACGCATAGAAGGAGGCGTGCACACTTTAAAGGCGCATATCTCAAAAACTATGATAGCTAGCAAAAAGTTGTAAATAACAAAAATTATCTACATAAAATGTTACACCTTTTGTTAGTTGAACAATGTTTGATATCTTGTACGGCTTGCGAGATATAAGCTGTCATATCTCTAGAACCATTTGAGTTATCAAAAATTATCAACTGGAAAAATGTGCGAAGTTTTTCTCTTTTTTTTTCTTAATTTTTCAAAACTCGAATTTCGAATTTTTCAAAAAAAACTCACCAAAACCTCTCCATCAGCTCTTTTAGCGCCGAAAATCTTTGCTCGAATCAATCCCTCGTTTTTTTCAGTCTTCAAAAACTTCACTTTTTGCCATTCGATCGAATGCTTCTCCTTGTATCTCTGTGCCTCCACAGTTGCGTTCTCCCATTCACTCGAATCGTCAACCAACAGAATCTCATGAATATGCTCTGGTTTCGTTCGATCGAAAATTGAATTCACCATTCGAACTAATACAGATGGCGACTCGTTGAAATAACAAACGACTATTGACGCAGCTGGCAAATCTGGAGCATACTGTAGATCCGAGCATTTAGCGTTTCGAGAATCCTTGATTTTCCGTCTAGATCCGATTCGATCACTTAGAAGACCGTTAAATTGATATCGCTTGTATCCGAGGGCTTGTAAATCGTCTTCTAGCTTCCCGTTGATTTTTCCTAGCTCATCGGTATCTATATCGATTTCTTTGGAACGATCCGGGAAGGTTGTCACGGAGTTTGGGTCGTCCAGATTTGGAGGAGGTGCCAGATTTATCTGGAAAATTGGATCTAGGTTTTTGAGGTTTTTGAGTTCTCGGCCGCTTTCAGAGATATTAAAAATTTATCAACTGATAAAATATGTTAAATTTTATGTTCTTCTTTTTTGTAATACACAACTTTTTGCTAGCTATCACGGTTTTTGAGATATGTGTGGTTAAAGTTATACGTCTTCTAGAAAGCTTCAACTTTAAACCTATTTATCTCAAAAACCATTCAAGCTATCAAAACAGTGTCAACTAGTGAAATGTGCAAAATTTCATGCTTTTTATTTCTATAATTGACATTTTTTCTTATCTATTATGGTTCTTGAGATATGCGCCTTTAAAGTACGCGCATCCCCAGAGGTGACGCAGAGAAGGAGTGCACACTTTAAAGGCGCATATCTCAAAAACCATTACAGCTAGTTAAAAGTTGTAAACTACAAAAATTATCTACATAATATTTTACACATTTTAATAGTTAATAAGTTTTTGATAACTTGTATGGTTCGCGAGATACAATCATTTGAACCTAGCCTGAGCCTCCGCGTCTTCTCCACAGCTCATATCTCCAAAACCATTTGAGCTATCAAAAAATTGTCAACTAACGAAATATATACAACATCTTAATAATTAACACATCTTAATAATTAATTACTTTTTGATAATTTGTATGATTCGCGAGATATAGGCATTTGAAGTTAGTAAGACGTTGACCCCGACTCCACCAACGCTCATATCTCCAGACCCATTAAATTTATTCTAACATTATTAATTATGAAAATGTGTAAAATTTTATGCTCTTCATTATTCTAATTAGCAACTTTTTGATAGCTTTCATGGTTTTGAAGATATGCGCTTTTGAAGTAATCGCCCCCCTTGTCACAGGGGACGCATAGAAGGAGGCGTGCACACTTTAAAGGCGCATATCTCAAAAACTATGATAGCTAGCAAAAAGTTGTAAATAACAAAAATTATTTACATAAATTTTTACACATTTTGTTGGTTTGCAAAGTTTTGCTAATTTTTAAGATTCGCGAGATATAGACGTTTGAAGCTCCTTAACACCATTTGAGCTATTTTATTTTTACAGTTTCCAAGATATATCCGTTCACACATCAAGTACCTGTTTCTTATTCTCCATTTCCTCATTATTTTCCAATTTCTCTCCTTCATCGCCTCCACCTCCATCATCATCAAAATCGTGTTGCTGTCGAACCTGTTCTTGAGGATTCTGAGGATTTTGCCTCTGAATCTCTGCGTCTCCAGACTTCCACACTCTCTCGTCGATCTCATTTTCAGAATACATGGAGACGTAGAGATAACAAGTGAGCATTATTGAGATGAGGCATATTAGCCCAAGCGATTTGCGACGCCAGAATACTAGCATCTGGAAACTGGTAATTGGGAATTTGGAGATAAGGAGGAAAGGGCGGGAATTTGAAATTTTGAAATTTATTTGAAATTTAGAAGATTTCCAGATTTGGAATTTCCAAAAATCTGAACTTTGAGGGTTTTCAGATTTTTGGAAATTGGTTGAAAAATTGAAAAAAATTACTATTTCAGAAAAAAATTCTTTAAATATATAGTAAAATTGGATTCAGATTCTGAGATTTTTAAAGGATTTTTAGGAAATTTATATTTTTTTTAATTCGAAACTTTGAAATTTTGGGAAATTTTGTTTTTAGATTTTCAGATATTTAGGGTTTTCAGGAATTTCAGATTTTCCGAAATTAGAAAATACTGCAAAAACACTGATTTTTGAAAATTTCGAAAAATTGGAAAATTCGATTTTTGAATTTCGAAATTTCCGCTTTTAGATTTTCAGATTCTTAAATTTCTAGGAATTACAGAATTTTTCAAAGATAGAAAAATTGAAAAATCACAAATTTCAAACTAAAAATTAGTTTTAAAATATTTTCGAAATTCGGAAAAATGGGAATTTGAAAATTAGGTTTTCCTAAAGTTTGGAAGTTTCAGATTTCGATAAATTTTCAAAAAATTCCCTATCACCAAAATCACCCAAAATCGTTTTTCTATAAAAAATCCAATAGACCGGAAAAGAGAAAAAAAGAAAATTGATGGATAAAAGTTGAGGTATGGGCAATCCGTCTGTCCAAAGAGACAGATAGAGTGAGAGACGCAGAGAAGCAGAAAGAAATCGAATGATGACACAGCTGAAGCGAGATAGTGTGGATTTTTGAGAGACGCAGAGAGAAAAAAGAGGAAGGAAAAAGAGAAAGGATAAAACAATCCGATGGACATTGGTAGTCTTCTCTCGAGGGGAAAAGAGAGAGAGAGAGAGAGAGAGAGAGAGAGAGAGAGAGAGAGAGAGAGATAGAGAGAGAGAGAGAGGGTACTATTTACCGAGTAGCTGAACTGAGAAGTACTGAATTGAGAGGAAAAAGTGGAAATGTTTGAACAGGTCGAAAACTTAGAAAACGTAGGCGATGTTGCTGTAGAGGGGTCACCTTGGGAAGTGTTGGATTCCCCGTGACGGCTCCAGAGAAACAAGCTACCTCCTTGTGCGTGCTGTCTGGTAAAATAGGGGAAAGTGCATCGGTAACAGGGGAACTAGTTATGTCTGTAGCGAGGAGTGGGACGACGAGCGGGCAGATAAGCGGTGTGGAAACAATAAAAGAAACAGTAGTATCAGTGACCCATTTATTGAGCGGTATATATTTAATAAAGAGAATATATCGTCAATAAGAGGTTTCCTTGGAGTCGGGCTGGCTTGGAGACGGACGAGAAGGACATCACTGATCACTCAATAGTTGAAGGGGCAAAAAGCCTTGGGCAACAAAAACCCTTCTCCTACCGGTGACAAGCTTATCGCTTGTCATAGACAAAGTTCCCAATAGCACACGCTTCCTAGTGGTCACGATGAGAGCACTGAAAGGAAAACACTCATGAAACAGGTCACAGAACTGGCCGTTAGTCTATTCAGAAGGAAATCTATATCAACTCACATCATTAGCGGTTTCCGATAGTCCAATAAGGCCGGTAAGGCGATCGGGGATCGCCGGAGGTCTTATAGTATTGGAATAGTAGGAATAATGATGAGTAACGAGGTTGACGGACTTGCAAACTGAAGGGAAACGTCACGGAACAGCACTAACTACTAGACTAGAATTAGACTGAGTAAGACTCAGTTAAATCTGAGTAAAAATAGGCCAGTAAACCCGTTTCGAGTGTGTGTGCGCCTTTAACCCCTTCGTGGCGAGACCTCAACGATAGGGCGCGCTTGCACGAAGGGAGAGAAAAAGGGTGGGAATTTGAATATGAGAAAATCAAAACTTGCGAACAATTAAACAATCTCTAGAAAATTCACAGAATTCAAAATTACCAAAAATTGAAAAATTCGAGATACGTCTGGAAAATTTAAGTTCAAGAAAATTCTGAAAATTTTGAAATTTCAGAAAAAGAATCTCCAGAACTAGACTGACATTTCCTTGTCCAATCTACACACACACACCCTCAAATCGGAACGATCTATTCCGATGTTTTCTCCTCAATTCCAAAACACAAAGAATAACGATTTTTTTCCAGAAGATTTCAATCTATTTTTTTCGAATGCAAAATATCAAGATTTCGAAATTTCTAGAAAAACTTCTAGGGGTTTTCAGAGATCCCATTGATTTTTTGATCTTATACCAGTCGGTTTACGCACCTTCGGGGCTTAACCTCCTGGCCTCCGGTCGCCCTCCACCATCGCCCACCACCCTTTAGTGTGGGTGAAACCAAGGAACGTCTCCAGAAGACTTCAAAATCAAAATTTCGAAAAACCAAAAGTTCGGGCATCAACTAAGACACAATTCTGATCTATCTGTCCAGTTTCAGCTTGTTCGGTTAACTTTGAATGGGTGAAACGGAACGCTACATACATACGCACATACATAATCTGGTGAATGTTATTAGTAATGATTTATCATAATATCACCAACGTTTTATCACTTGACACATCTTTGATATCTCTCATAGGAGCCGAGATAATTGAGCTCAAAGTGGGGGGGGGGGGGACCCTTCTATTACAGGTTTTAGGGTATACAAAACGTATTTTTCCGTGGATTTCCGGTCATTTTCAAAAGTCTAGATCTCGGTTTTCAAGTTTCCGATAACTTGTATAATTTTGAAGTGTCTTTGCATTCACAGAATTTGTTGAAAATTCCTAGTTTTTCAGCTATTTGCCGACACCCATTTTCGCCGGTTTTTCTTCTTTTTTAACCCCGAAAATTCAAATTTCTCGCATTGACTTGTCCACGAGAAGTACAAAACACGAAATCTCCCATTTTGTTTAAAAATTCGACTTTCTATTATTCCTAGCGGTTTTACAATTGAGTTTTGAGCTGCTTCGTAACTCAAAAATTCAAATCTCGCGCGTCGACTTGTCCACGAGGAGTACAAAATCTAAAACCGCCAATTTCAATGAATTTACTCGTTTTTGTGCGAAAAATGTTCAAATTTCAAACTGTTTTTCGGTTTTGGTATATCTCATTGACCGGTACTGTAGCTCTGTCAATTTTCTAGTTGGAGTTTTCTAGTTCTCTTCCAAATGACGACACTTATCGTACCCAGGATCAGATATGGAGAAGAGGATGCTTCATAAAAAAACGAGAATCCGAAGAAAAGGAAGACTGTAGAACAAGTTGATGAGAAGAAAATAAGATTTGAATCTAATTTTATGCAAAAAACAAATTTCACTTTTTTTTGGATGACGTCTTATGGTAGGAACCGGGTAGAAATTGAAGAGAACTTTGGTTTAATTAACGGGAGCTGGGTGGACCATACTTTGAGCTCAATTATCTCAGCTCCTTTAAGAGATACCAAGAATCTATTAACTGATAAAACACTCATCATAATATCAGTGACATTTTATCAGTAAATCACTTTTTGATATCTCTCATAGGAACCGAGATAATTGAGCTCAAAGTGGACAAAGAGGTTGGGTTTCTATTAGCGTACCGTAACCAAAAAAAATATATGTTTTTGCCAGCTATGAAAAAAGCTACCTGGTCACAAAAATGGCTAAGGCTGGATTGTGTTCAATACAGACAGAGAAATCCGGTTGAACTGATTTTCATCTATTTTGAAGAGGCCGATTTTGATCTTTTGTGTTGTTCCTGAGGCCATTTGTGTCTTGTTTGGACAGGGAAGATATGAATAAAACGTTCCCAAATAAAAATTTCAGAAAATTTTTTTCAGAAAATTCAGATTTCCAATAAGTTAAACTTCGATTTGCTTGAAATTAAAAAAAAAGAAATCCTCGAAGAAAAAAAGTTGAAAATGTGCCAAATTCAAACAATTTTAAAAAACCGAACCGTCCACTTTGAGCTCATATATCTCGGTTCTTCTTAAAGATATCAAAAAGTTGTCAACTGATAAAATGTTTATCATGATATCAGCAACATTTTATCAGTTGGCCACTTTGTGATATCTCTCACAAAAAATGAGATACATGGGCTCAAATTTGACGAATCGGATGACGTTCTATTAGAGTGTTTACGGTAAATACTTCTGCAAATCAAAACTTGCGAACAATTAAACAATCTCTAGAAAATTCACAAAATTCAAAATTACCAAAAATTGAAAAATTCGAGATACGTCTGGAAAATTTAAGTTCAAGAAAATTCTGAAAATTTTGAAATTTCAGAAAAAGAATCTCCAGAACTAGACTGACATTTCCTTGTCCAATCTACACACACACACCCTCAAATCGGAACGATCTATTCCGATGTTTTCTCCTCAATTCCAAAACACAAAGAATAACGATTTTTTCCAGAAGATTTCAATCTATTTTTTTCGAATGCAAAATATCAAGATTTCGAAATTTCTAGAAAAACTTCTAGGGGTTTTCAGAGATCCCATTGATTTTTTGATCTTATACCAGTCGGTTTACGCACCTTCGGGGCTTAACCTCCTGGCCTCCGGTCGCCCTCCACCATCGCCCACCACTCTTTAGTGTGGGTGAAACCAAGGAACGTCTCCAGAAGACTTCAAAATCAAAATTTCGAAAAACCAAAAGTTCGGGCATCAACTAAGACACAATTCTGATCTATCTGTCCAGGTTTCAGCTTGAACGGTTAACTTTGAACGGGTGACAAGGTGCGCTACATACATCCGGACATACAGAATCTGGTGAATGTTATTAGATATGTAGATTTTAAAAAATAGATGTGTAGATTTAAAAAAAATAAAAATTTCAGATTTTCAGAAAAAAAACCACGTCATCTGAAAGAAAATTCCAGATGTCGCTTTCAATTTATTCAATTTCGTTCTACTTAGAATTCGATGAAATATATCTAGACATTTCTCCAATGTTTTTAAATTCTTCCCATATATCAGCTTTACTGAACACTGTGACCTCTAGAAGTTACAAAAGCGGCACACACTTATCCGCCTTCCGCGCCTTTTTATAAACTATGCGCGGTGGTGTAAGGGATGTGGTGTGCGCTCGCGTGCAGGAGGTCAGAGGTTCGAACCCTTCTGGGGTTTGTCGTTTTTTTTTTTGCTTTTTGGATATTCTTTCTGCAAAATTTCGAAGGGGATCTTCTTTTTTTCGAACAAAACCGAAGATAATTTCCCATTTCCGACGTTCTTTCGGTTTCCTGTTCGAAAAATTCAAATTTTCCTCCTCTCGCACGTCATCAGATATTTTTTTAATCTATAATTTTTTTTCTTCTTTCTCGAATCTCCTCCCCCAATTATTTTGATGTCTACGAAGAAGAGAAGACAAATAATAAAAATTGACTTGCTAATTCATTTTTTGTTTGTTCCAATCTTCTAATCTTTTTGGGTCTCATTTGGGTACAAGGATTCGGAGAATCTAGGATTTTTTGGGAATCTGAAAATTTTAGAATTTCAGAGTCCCAGTATTTTTGAAGAACCCCAAAATTATAGAAAAAATTCTAGACAACACAAATGTATTGTTTACTGGTTTTTTTTTAAATCAAGACAACAAATTTTGGCTTCTCCTTTTGGATTTTCAGTTTTACAAATTTTTCTTGGACCAAATTCATAATTTTTTGTTTTCCTGTCCCTGCCAAATTTCTGAATCCATCGCGTGCCGAAAAAAATTTGTTCAGAATCCCGGAAATTTTTTTTTCCATCAAAATTTAGAATTTTTACAATTACCCCTGTAAACAAGCAATTTCTATGTCTTTATTGTTCGAGAAAATGGAATTTTCTGGAAAATTTTGACATTTCGAAACTAAACTCGAACTGAAAACAGTTTCGTTCGGCGGAGCGCGCTTGCTCGGCGCCAAAATTTAAATTTCGAGAAATTTTCGAGTTTTTGAAGATTTTTTTTTGAATTTCAAAGCTTTTCCTATCAATAATAACTGAAAACACTGAAAAAACGCTATCTTACTTCATTCTTAGAAAAAAAAAGTCGAAAAATTATGAAAAAATAATTTTTTTTCAATTTTGTTTTTTCGATTTTTTTTTTCAAAATTTTGTTTAAACTCGCAAAATTTTTTACTCAAAAAGTGTGTGTTTCAGCCTAAAAAACGAGAAAAAATCGATAAAATCCGCTTTTTCATCAATTTCTCAAATTTTAAACTTTGGCGCTGCGCAACCGCGCTCCACTGAACAAAGCCAATTTTGAGCCGGAAAACATGCAATTTTGCATATTTCTTAGTGGAATAATAGTTTTGTCTCGAAAATTCATTTAATTTCCAGAAAATTCCATTCGAAAAATCCCGAAAAAAAGGGGAAGACATTCCGAAATTCGATATTCTGGTTACGTCTTCATCTTTTTTCTATTTTCCCACAGTTCTCTTATAATTCTCTATGTTACTATTAGACACAAAAATGCCAAAACGCCAACGCTGAATAAAGTGATTTCTCGGCAAAAGATATCTTTTTTCAAATTTCCCGCCGCCCCGAAATTTTGGGTATCAAATTTTTTTAAAGGTTTTCTTTGGTTTAAAAGGAAGAAGAGGTTAAGAAGAGAGACCCAAATTTTCCAGTTCATTTGATTTTTTCTTTTTTTTTGTAGAATTTCACATAAAAAATTTGATGAGCTGATTTCATTTTTAGATAATTCTAGAATTTTGAAATTTCAGAATTTTAGAAATTCAAAAATTTTGAAATCTACCATCTTCTGACCTAGTTTTTTCAGCTGAATTCAAAAAGTCAAAATTCTGACGTTTTTTTTTCGAAAAAATTCTCACGGCCGTTTTCTGAGCATAATTACATGATGTGGGTCTGCAAAATACGAATTTCTGAGATTTTCTGATTTTTCGAGAACTTTCCGGACCAGTACACAAGTACTGGAATTGTGATCATATATTTTTTCTGAGATTTTCAGAATTTCCCGGATACCAAGAATTTTCTAGATTCTTAGATTCTTAGATTCTTAGATTCTTAGATTCTTAGATTCTTAGATTCTTAGATTCTTAGATTCTTAGATTCTTAGATTCTTAGATTCTTAGATTCTTAGATTCTTAGATTCTTAGATTCTTAGATTCTTAGATTCTTAGATTCTTAGATTCTTAGATTCTTAGATTCTTAGATTCTTAGATTCTTAGATTCTTAGATTCTTAGATTCTTAGATTCTTAGATTCTTAGATTCTTAGATTCTTAGATTCTTAGATTCTTAGATTCTTAGATTCTTAGATTCTTAGATTCTTAGATTCTTAGATTCTTAGATTCTTAGATTCTTAGATTTTGAAATTCCAGAAAGTCTGAAGGTTCTGAGAATTTTGTAACCTGAGTCCTTACAGCCTATAAGTTATAGGACTCTCTAAAGTAAACAAAAAACAAACAGAACGTTCTAGAACCATAATATTGAAAATGTCCTAATTTGAAATTGCCTATTTCAAAACAGGACGTTTCGTAACCGACTGTTTTTTTTTCAGTTTTATGACTTTTGACCTCATTACTCATATTTATTATCATTATTCATTTTTGCATTCTATCACAAAAACATTTGACTAATCCAGACGTTCAAAGATGAGTAAACTGTTTTTTATTGGTGATAATCCGAAAAATCGAAAATTCCAAAAAAACAGAAATATTAAAAAT